GCGTAAGCTCCGCCTATGTACGGCTCACCTCTCCTCTGACCACCCCGATCCCCTCTCTCTATAATCTAGACTCAGCAAGAGTCTTTACTCTTTACCTCCCTCCCTTAACCGGAGCCTCCAAGAGGGTCTCAACATCCGGAGGGGAAAGACCAGGGGCGAGAGAGGGAAGAAAGAGAGAATAAAAAAAAAAAAAAAAAAAAATCATTTTCTACTTAATTCTCCCTCCCTTCCCTCCCCAACCCCGGGACCTCCCTCCCCCTCCCCCCGACATGCTGCCAGTCCTCTTTTCTTGTATCATCTGTATTTCCTTTATCTTCTTTTTCTTCTTCCCACCCAGCTATCTCCATTCTTTGCAAGTCCAGTCTGTCACAAAAATCCCTTAATTCCTCCGGAAATCTCAAATACGCTGTGACCCCATTTTTCCAACCAATTAGAGATGCTGAGGTACCCCATCTATACTGCACATTCTGTTTTCTCATTTGCTCCAACAGGGGTTTCAGGGATCTCCTTCTCCATAGGGTCTCTGCTGTTAAGTCCGCATAGATTTGGATAGTCAAATCTCCATACTTAATTAATGATCTTCCCTTGGTCTTCTTCCAAATCTCATCTTTGACCCCAAATTTTTGGAACTGGACAATTATGTCTCTCGGTCTTTCCTTCTCAGTAGCCTGTTTGAACTTTCCTATTCTAAACACTCCGTCTAACTTGATTCCGTCTGTTTCAGGTCTGTCTCTTATGGAGTTTAGGATTTTTTTTAACTAGTTCATATAGTATTTCCCCTTTTGCAGTCTCTGGGATTCCTTGTATTCTAAGGTTACACCTTCTTTCTTTGTTTTCTTGAACTTCCATCCTATAGATCATTTTTTTCTGGTTATTTTCTAATTGGCTTATTTTTTTCCTTAGATTATCTATATTCTGGGCCTGGATTTTAGCTTTCTCCTCTGTTTCTTCCATTCTTGATAGCAGGTGCCCTAAATCATTTCGAATAGCTGTCATTTCATGTTTTATCGTTTTTTCCAAATTTTGAAACATTTCTATCATCTCCTTCTTATTTGGTATTTGTAGTTCACCATCAGATTCTTTTTTTCCCAAGCCATCCACTATTTGTTGGCTACAACTGCTATTCATGCCCAGTGATAATCTAGGACTATTTCCTAAACTAGTGTCCATTTCCCCTTTTGCGCTTGCGCCTTGGGACCTTTCTGGCGTAATATTTCCATATGATGTGAATTTCTTTATTGTTCCTGTTTGAGCCCCTTTGAGCCCTGCTCCCTTGGGACCTTTGTTCTTCATGTCCTCTGTATATCTTGATAGACTTGCTATTTTTCCTATATCTTTTACTCTCCTAGGACACCTGGGCCTCCTCTCTTCTTCTCTTCTAACCCCTGGGAATCCTCCCCTCCTTCACCCCTTGGTCGCCTATGTCACTCAGGGGTCCACAACACAATAAGCTCCCAGCAGCTTTCACTCACCCTTCCCTTCTGAGGACGGTGACTCCAGGCTTGTGTGGAGGACCTTCACTGCTGCTCAGTCCTGGGGGGGGATTCCTCTGGGTTTCCGATACTGTATCGTCTCGGGGAAACAGGATGGGTCTCCTGATATTCATGGGTCTCCCTGACCCAGGATCGAACAGCCGGCCAGGGGGTATGGGCAGCTATGAGCCGGAAGCACCCTGTCACATCAGGACGCCAACCAGCTTCCTCTTTCCCTCAGGGGTCCTCCGCAGCTGGCCCCTTACTCCTACAGCGTCACTTCTCCTCTCAGCCTCACGACTCTCCACTCATGTAACGCCGGGGGAACCATCGTGTCTCTGCAGCCTCAGACCAACTCCCCTCTCTGGCTCTCCGAGTTCAGCTTCCCAGCCCTCCAGTCTCCGTTAGGTCAGCTCCTAATGAGGGTTACTGGGTGGGTCAGGGAGCGGGCCCCAGCAAGAAGCTAGTGCCAATCGCTCCCCACAGCCACCTTATTCAAAGTCCTCCCTCTTTCCTTCGAGCCGGTTTAGGGCTTGGTTTGGTGTCTCCCCTCTCCTGTCAGGGAACCGGCCGGCGTCTCTGCTTCCCAGTGCTCCTTTGCGGCGAGCAGCGTGCTCACGCCGCCCTGCTCCGTTTCCCCGGCAACCCGACAGCTGCACTCGGATCCCCGCAGCGTGTTCTCCTCCCGGAGCTCCGTGCCCGCTCTCCTCTCCCTTTACTGCGCCAGCTTCTCCCCCTTTGGAGACCTCCTCGCTCAGGTAGGGCTTCACACCATGAGGGTTCTCGGGATGGTCAGCTCGGAGGTTGTCGGAGAGCACTCACATCATGCTCTCCGTCGCCGCCATGTTTAGGCCCTGCCCCTCCAGCACCAGTGAGCAGTTGTGGACCTGGTGTCATTAGCTTCTAATGTTGGCCCTGAAATGCTAGGACAGTGAAAAACCTTCCGCCCCCTCCACGGTATTTAACTAAGAGGCGTGGTGAGTGTTTTGCAGATCTCATTTGTTGCCAAGTTTTTGGAAAACGAAGAAAGTAAACGAAAATGTATTTTTTTTTTTTGTTTTTTTTTCAGAACCCTCTGACAAAAATGATATCTGCAAAATGCTCACCATGCCTCTTATCAAATTTCTTGGAGTGTCTGCTTTCCAAAAAGGGATCATTTGGGGGGGGACGGGGGGGGGGGGATATTTTTACTATCCTGGCATTTTAGGGCCTCCGAAACTGTGATAGGTAGTGGGGAAGTGACATGAGGAATATGCACTTTGAAAGCCTGGAGGTGGCCATTGGAATTTTTGGGCCTGTATGTAGCTAGGCTGCAAAAAAAAGTCTCTCATGTGGTATCCCCATACTTGGGAGAAGTAGAAGAATGTGTTTTGGGCTATTATTCCACATATACCCATGGCATGCATGCGCAATAAGTGACAACTTTTGGTTAAAAAAATAAAAATGTATTTTCAAAAAATTTGTGACAAAAAATAAAATGTTCCATGGACTCAACATGCCTCTGCAAAATCCTTGGGGTGTCTACTTTCCAAAAAGGGGTAATTGGGGGGGGTGTACTGCCCTGGCATTTTAGCACCTCAAGAAATGTGATAGGCAGTCAGAAAGTAAAAACTGTAAATTCCAATATATATACCATAGTTTGTAGACACTGTCTTTAACACAAACCAGTTAATGTGCATGTGGTTTTTTTGTTTCCCCAAAATTTTTGGTCTTTTTTTTGTTTATAGCTCAAAAAGTAAGAACCACAGAGGTGATCAAATACCACCAAAAGAAAGCTCTATTTATTTATTTAAAAAAAAAAAGGAAATAAATTTTGTTTGGGTACAGCATTGCATGACCGCGTAATTACCAGTTGAAATGGTGCAATGCCGAAAAGCAAAAAATGGCCTGGTCATGAGGGGAGGTAAATCTTCTGGAGGGCAAGTAGTTAAAGGAAGTGGGAAAATAACAAATTCAATTACAGAAACGGGTAATAAATGTGGGGAACAAAAAATTTTGTGTTTAATACTAGTGACAGACTACATATTTAATTTTCAGCATTTACCCATAACTCCACTTTAGAAAGTGACTTCATATACCAGGAATTATCTTCAGAATTGTCTGAAGTTGGTTAGGGCTAAAACAACTAATTGACATAATAAATTTATAATTGATTATAAAAATAGTTGGCTTTACAGCTCAGTACACCATTCATACATGTCAGTATACACAGTGCAGCACACACACAGCTCTGTACACGGTCCACACATGTCAGTAAGTACCTGAGAACTTGTGAATGTATGGGAAACAATGCCTCTTGCTGCATGTAGTCCTGGGCAGGTGAAGGAAGTGATTTAAAGTAATTCTAAAGGCAGAAGTTTTTTTTTTTTTTTTTTTTAAACGTCGCTATTGGGGTGCTGTATACTATACTTTGTGGCTTGCTATGGGGGGGCACTCTTGAAGGTAAGCGGAGCTAGAAGTGCCAGTGGGGGACCCCAGTAGGGGAGGATCAGGGCTGCTCTGTACAAAACCATTTTTTAAATTTTATATATTTATTTTTAAATCTGTTTACCATCACTTTCAGGTCTCTGTGCAGGAAAGATTGGCATCTGAAAGGTTTACCAGTATTGTGCATTTCTTTGCAAAAAAGTCTCAGCCTTTAGTACTAAGTTTTTTATATAAAAGATTTATATCCTATGTCTGACGGTGTGCAGGAGACCTGCATGGCATCAGTGATCTGCTGATCCCTGGAACAATGCTTTACAGCAGCGGTTCTCAACCTGGGGGTCGCACGACGTTTCCACAGGGGTCGCCTAAGACCATCGGAAAACACATATTTCCGATGGTCTTAGGAACCGAGACACCGCTCCTCGCCGCCACCGCCGTCTCCAGGTGTGGGCGGGATGACATGCCCCCCCTGTCATCTGGACACACCTCGAGATCAATCCTCGCCTGTGATTGGCCGCCGGCACTGTAGCTCAGGAGAGGCACACAGGCGGCCAATCACCGGCAAGGAGGTGGAGCTTGGAGAGGAGGAGCCGAGCGGCACCGCGAAGATCGAGCGAGTGAAGAGGAGGAGAGCGGCCGGTGAAGGAAGACATCTGACAGGTAAGTGTCGGTACCATGGGAGAGGGAGGGAGCGAGCGAGCCCAGGCTGGAGCAGGGGTCTGCAAGGTAAGTATCATTGGTGTCAGTGGGAATAGTGCCCCATCATTGGTGTCACTAATACCAATGATGGGGCACTATTCCTCCCACTGACACCAACGATGGGGCACTATTCCTCCCACTGACACCAATGATGGGGCACTATTCCTCCCACTGACACCAACGATGGGGCACTATTCCTCCCCCAAATGACACCAACGATGGGGCACTATTCCTCCCCCAAATGACACCAACGATGGGGCACTATTCCTCCCCCAAATGACACCAACGATGGGGCACTATTCCTCCCCCAAATGACACCAACGATGGGGCACTATTCCTCCCCCCAAATGACACCAACGATGGGGCACTATTCCTCCCCCAAATGACACCAAGGATGGGGCACTATTCCTCCCCCAAATGACACCAAGGATGGGGCACTATTCCTCCCCCCACTGACACCAAGGATGGGGCACTATTCCTCCCCCCACTGACACCAAGGATGGGGCACTATTCCTCCCCCCACTGACACCTATGATGGGGCACTATTCCCCCCACTGACACCTATGATGGGGCAATATTCCCCCCACTGACACCAATGATGGGGCACTATTCCCCCCACTGACACCTATGATGGGGCACTATTCCTCCCCCACTGACACCAATGATGGGGCACTATTCCTCCTCCCACTGACACCAATGATGGGGCACTATTCCTCCTCCCACTGACACCAATGATGGGGATGGGGCACTATTCCTCTCCCACTGACCCACTGACACCAATGATGGGGCACTATTCCTCCTCCCACTGACACCAATGATGGGGCACTATTCCTCCTCCCACTGACAGCAATGATGGGGCACTATTCCTCCCACTGATACCGATGATGGGGCACTATTCCTCCCACTGATACCGATGATGAGGGCACTATTCCTCCCACTGACACCGATGATGGGGGGCACTATTCCTCCCACTGACACCGATGATGGGGCACTATTCCTCCCACTGACACCGATGATGGGGCATTATTCCTCCCACTGATACCGATGATGGGGCACTATTCCTCCCACTGATACCGATGATGGGGCACTATTCCTCCCACTGACACCGATGATGGGGCACTATTCCTCCCACTGACACCGATGATGGGGCACTATTCCTCCCACTGATACCGATGACGGGGCACTATTCCTCTCACTGACACCGATGACGAGGCACTATTCCTCCCACTGACACCGATGACGGGGCACTATTCCTCCCACTGACACCGATGACGAGGGGGCACTATTCCTCCCACTGACACCAATGATGGGGCACTATTCCTCCCACTGATACCAATGACGGGGCACTATTCCTCCCACTGATACCAATGACGGGGCACTATTCCTCCCAATGACACCAATGACGTGGCACTATTCCTCCTACTGCAAAATTACAGTTATGAAGTAGCAACGAAAATAATTTTATGGTTGGGGGGTCACCACAACATGAGGAACTGTATTAAGGGGTCGCGGCGCTAGAAAGGTTGAGAACCACTGCTTTACAGGCTCAAAACACCAAAAATAATAAATGCCCATATTTTTACTTGCAGAAAAAGTGCATTTATTATTTTTTGTGTAAAGGTGAACTTCTCTTTTAATGTACTCCACAAATCCTGCTGTTCATGCAGCAATACCATTTGCCAATAATGTCTGTTACCTATGTATTAGTTGATAAAAAGTAGCCAGAAAGATGGTAGTCTGCAGGGCAGAATACTTATATCAAGTAATACTCGGGGACAAGGAGTAATCACTTTATAATAATGCTAGTATTCCTAGTCCCCCTGGGGGGAAGGGGGAGCCAGAGACTGTATCTTGTAAAGTAAAGGGTGGTAGTAAGTAATTAACACATTACACTTGACTTTTACAGTCCTTCCTAAACATGATTCCTGGAGTTGTGTATCACATTTGGAATATGAAATTTTGAGTTCTCCTTTAAGCATTTCTTGCAACTACCCATACTGTAGTTTTTTTGGTGGTGGTAGTAGAATTGCTATTTACCTAATAGCTGAAATCTGGTTTGTGCCTTAGGGTTGTGACGTTTTTAGATATCTAATAGTGTATCATAGAACCAACCAATATCGGTTTTTCTTTTTTTGGTAGAGTCAAATCCCAAAAGTAAACTTGGCTTAGCTTGAGAAACCTTAGCTCACAATGCGGGTTTCATCATAAAACACAGTGTCCCTATCATAACACATTTTTCATGCAAAGGGGGAAAAAAACATAATCTAAATATGAGATGTAATCTCCCAAAAACAGCATTTTTTTTTGTAACTGCTTTAGCACATAATGGATGTGATTTTGTATTCTGATAGGTTGTTTTTTGTAGTGTTTTTTTTTTTTTTTTTTTTTGTACGTGCTAGTGTACCAATGCTTTATTTTAGGTTTCTTTAAGAACTAAAATGGTATTTTTGTCTTTAGATTTTACAGTTGCTTCTGGTTATCACATTTCTGAAGAGGTCTATGTACCAAATATTCCAAGGACGTTGGTTTTCCAGAAGATGATAAAGAAATGATAGCTGCACCAGAAATCCAAACAGACTTCAGTCTCCTCCAGTAAGTTTTTCTATATCAACGTGTTTTTTTTTTTTGTTTTTTTTTTTTGTAGATAGAACAAATGAGAAAACAAAGGCTCTGAAATAAGTGGGGATATTCAAATTTAACTGGAAATTCCCTTTGAACTTTTATACTATTATGTATGCTGTAGTCACCTTTTTATAACAGATTCCCTAAGAAATTTGATCAGATAAAATTAACACATTGTAATGTTTCTTGAAAAGGCCTCTGGATCCTTCAATTCATGATATGGGCCCACTTTCCTGCAATCCACCACCCAGGTATGTTCTCTATATAAATTGTAAAAAATGTAAAAAGTGTTTTGTGTCTACCATGAAAGTTTACCTTAAAGTAGAATTAATTGTGTAGGGGAGTGTTCTCACTTTCTGTTGGGGTGAGCATGTCCCCCAAAACTCCCAAGACCCATCTTGCCACACTTTGTGTGGTAGGCTTTCGAGAGTCAAGACAGCAGTGTTTTGCTAATAAAGAATTCATTATGTGCATGCACTGTGACAGCACCACTGACTGCTAAACACTCAAACTACAAGTTGAGCTGTGGAGAGGGATACAGATGGTTATTAGGTGCAGGAGGCAGTGAAAGGAACATTTGTGTATGTGGCAAACAGACTGGAGTCCTATGCACAGTGTGCAGGCACTCACTATTGTGTTGGATATGAACACAAACATGCCTGGCCTATGTCAGGTGGTATTTGGATTACCTGCTAGTGTCAAAATAACTTACTATAGTCAAGCAATAATGTTTTGGTTCATTTTTTTGGGAGCCACTTTTTACAGCATGTAATGACAGGAAAGGAGACATTGCAGGTAACTTGTGTGGAACGAGAAGGGCAAATACTAAGAATATAAATAAGAAGGGTACTGTAGATCTTTGGCATGTTTATATGATGTCCTGTATTCTTGTTTATCGAAAGTGATTATGAAGTTGCCTTTTCATCATAATGCAGGGACCCAGAAACCCATTTCTCATCTGACACGGACTTTGATGACACTGAAGGTAAAGCCCCAAAACAAGGCAAAGGAAAGGTATGTTCTGCTTTTTCGTTTTGTTACCTAAAATATTTTAATAGGCATAAAATACTTGAGTTATTGTATTTCTTTCCACTTACAGAAAGGAAAAAAAAATGCCACTGAAAAAGGGAAAGGTTCTTTGAGACCTGGTGGCCCCAATTGGATGAATGGTCATCACCAACAAAATGGTGTGGAGAACATGATGCTCTTTGAAGTGGTTAAGATGGGCAAAAGTGCAATGCAGGTAATACAGTTTGGCAGACACTTTTGAATGTGTTGTGATGATTGATTAAAAAAAAACAAAAAAACTTTTCATATGGACATTGATCATAAGTTGGTTTTGCTGTAAAATGAAAAAGCCGGTAAATTTACACATTTAGATTTAACATCAGTGGTTTGATTGCCCTCTCCTAAAAGGCAGGCAGAAGGGTACCACATGTGAGCCTGACATGCCATAATCTTATCAGTTTCTAAACTGCACATAGGTTGTTGGCGGGAGGACGGTACCTGCAGGACCATTCGAATGTGTAATCACAGGATCAATGCATACTATGCAGCCTAAAAATGAAGCCTTTCAGTTTCTGTGTGTTGACAACACATTGTCAATGGATGGGATGTCTTGTTATTTCACATTTACCAAAAAACTGTCTATGCAGATAACGGGTGTCTGTAAATAAACACAACCTGTGTAGCTTTGGCTAAAGTTGAATAATGCCCTTGCTATAGGTGTAGGCCATTAATGTACCTCTTAAAGCCTGAATAGAAAGTTCTCAAGACATTGCTAAGCAAGGCCTGACTGTTACTGTTCACCTTCACCATCGGTTCAGAATTAGCACCATCAGAAAGTGTTTATGAGGAGGTTTGAATCAGAAATACAGTAGCTCACTCCTGTGAAGGAGGATTATAGCTGGGCCTCGCTTGGCAACATCCTGGGAGTTTTCCAGTCAGGTTTCATGTGGTACGTAAATGGCCTACACCTGTAGCAATGGCTTTTTTCAATTATGGTTAAAGCTGCACATTTTATTTTTATTTACGGGTACACCTTATCTGCATAGACTTTTTTTTTTCTGGTAAATGTGTGCTAACCCTTTAATGTGTTATACAGTAACACACCATATTGAAAGGCCAGGATTAAAGTGGTATTATCCTCTTCTCGGGTCCCTGGTCCCTTCCTCCTGCCTAGTGCCCTCAGAGCAAGCAGTTTGCTTTGCGGGCACCCAAACAGGCTCACTCCCGCTGTTCTGCTTATCCATTCACACACAAAGCCACGACGCGACCCCCCCCTCCTCTCTCGGAGAGCCGAGCCTCTCATGCACATCGCTGGTTCACGATTGGGCTCAGGTAAGTATTAAGTGGGGCTGGGGGGAGCTGCTGCACACATTTTTTTACCTTTTATCCATAGAATGCACAAAGGTAGAAAAACTTAAGCCTTTACAGCCACTTTAAAGGAGACTATAAATATCTGTTCTGATGCCAAGCATACATGTTTTGAGTTGTAGATGGGAACTGGTTATTATTTTGTAGCAGAGGTTTGTAAGGTTCACTGTCAAATTTTCCTGATGACCAGATGAAAGACCACAACATATAGAGATCAAATGCGCCTTGTGGTGACTCCCAATTTTTTTTCTTGCCTGCAAATGTTCAGTGTGACGGTTGGAGAGGAATATATAGCGAGGATTTATCTGACCCATGTGCAGGCCAGTGCAGCTGTTTGAGATACTGTAGCTGTGTCACCATGAGGTGCATTTGATCGCTGTAAGTTGTTTTTCCATTTGTCTGGAGCCATATCAAATCTGAATGGCCGTTGGGTTATGTTGTGACTGTATCACAGCAAAGCACAATTGATCTGTTTGCAATCGCTCCATCTGGTAGGGAGTGTGTGAGCACTGGTGTCATGGAGAGCACTTATTTGCACTCCTTCACAGTTTGATATTGTCAATCTAGGGCTTTTTTGCACTTTATTCCATATATACTTACTCTTTGATGGTCTTCTATTTTGTTTTTTTTTCTTCTATTTTTAGTTTTATTAAAACTTTTGCATTCATTTTATCAATGCGTTTTTGTATCTACATTGGTATGAATAACACTTTAAAGTATATCACCTATTTAGTATGTTTTGACATCTGGTACTTGGATATTTCAGTGTTGCTGTTGTTTCATATCTTTAATTTCTACACTAAGTGCAGGGAATTTTTTTGGTTTTGCATTTTTACAGGCATGTGTAATGTTTGTGTGTATATATGTGTGTGTGTATATATATATATATATATATATATATATATATATATATATAGTAATAGCCATAGTTTATTGTAGTTTAAATAAATTCAGTGCAAAAAAAAAGTACAAATCTAGTGCTGCACACTGGTTTAAGTATGCAAAGCCTGTACAGTAGCTTATATTTTTATTGCAAAGAATGACGGATGGGAAAAAATTTCAAAGTCTGCACTATTCAGAGATGCCCGACCTGTCTACTCAAGGGTAGAGAAGAATGGAAGGTCACTTTGGAGAGGAGGGGACCGGGTATTGTGAACTAGGCAAATTGCATAAGTGTAGGTCACATACAGAAACACAACAAGAAAGATTAATTGAATGGTGCATCTGAAATTGTGTCGTGCACCTTAGAAGATCTTAGATTTGTTTGTTACGCAATGAGATAGTTTATGTGGTATATGGAATGATTTAGAATTACAAAAAATAAAACAAGTCATCTATGAACAGTGCATTTATTGATTGCTAGCCAACAGGCCCAATTGTTCTGAAATTTAGGCCATGAACAGTGCATTTAGGCAAAGAGAATTTCAAAATAGATATGGAGCTTCAGGGTATTTAAGACCATCAATGTGGGAAGCATGTTTTTATTTCCTAGATCTTGCCACTGTTAGGGTATTTGTGATAAAATGCCCCATTTTGTGGACGCAAGCTATCATTTATTATTCCTAGTAAGACCGCATCTTTTATATTTTACTAAAGACTGAGTAGTGTATTGCAATTTTGTGTGTACTAAAATTAACTTGCCTGTATTTTTCTTTCTTTCTTTTTTTTACTAAAAATGAACCATGATAAATAGTTGTGCTGATATTTTGTGTCAGAAAAATTGGGAACTACCACCATTTTTTTTTTCTCCAGTGTCTCTGCTTTTAGAAAGTATTTAATGTGTGAGGGTTTTAATTACTCTTCAGGCCTAAAATGTGCTTTTTAAAGACAAAGTTAAATAATTTTTTTAATTCAGCAAAGGGACAGTACTTGCTTTCAGTGAGAAGTGTCCCTTGTGTTGCTTTCTGCTTTTTTAGTTGATATCCAAAGTCTTATGACCCCCCCCCCTCCCCCACTCAGTGCACAGCTGTGGTGTTATGGTGGTGGACCAGAGGACATTTAGATTTCAACTAAAACAGTGGCTAATAGCTCAAGAGACACTGCTCATTGAATGTGAATGCTGTTCCATGTGCTGTGTTTTAATTCTCTGTTTCTCCTTTAACCACTTCCCGACTGCCCTACAGCAGAACTACTGCTACAGGGCACCGCCCGACCCACACCACCATTGGCGGCTACAGATGTTGATCACCAGGTCCTGGCCGGAGATTCTCCGCCGACGATTGCCAAGTATTACTGACGGGAAAGACCTGTGTGTAAACAACACAGGTCTCTCTCCTGCTAGCAGTAACATGATGCTGTGTGTTTCTGTGCACAGCAGAGAAATACACAGCAGTATGTTTCTCTAGTAAAACAGAACACAACACACAGTTAACCCTTTGATCATCGCAGATGTTAACCCCCTCCTGCCCAGTGCCATTAGTACAGTGTCAATGCTTTTTATTAGCACTGATCACTGTATTAGTGTCATTGGGATGTCAGTGGCAGTTAGTCAGTCCCCCCCCCCCCCCCCCCCCCCCCCCCCCCAGTGTCGGAATGCCTGCTGCAGTCCCGCTAATAAGTTGCTGATCGCCGCTATTACTAGTATTAAAAAATAAATACATTCCAGTATATATATCGACGTTGTAGACGCTATAACTTTCACGTAAACTAATTAATTTACACGTATTGGGTTTTTGTTATTTTTTGCAAAGACAAGTAGCAGAATATATTTCGGCCTAAATTTATGACGAAATGTTATTTTATTTTTTTTACTGAATATGTTTTATAGCAAAAAGTAAAAAAAAAATTTCAAAATTGACGGTCAAATTTGTTTATAGCGCAAAAAAATAAAAAAATGCAGAGGTGATCAAATAGCACGGAAAGAAAGCTATTTGTGGGAAAAAAATGACAAATTTCATTTATGTACAGTGTTGTATGACTGCGCAATTATTGGTTAAAGTAATGCAGCGCTGTATCGTAAAAAATGGCCTGGTCAGGAAGGGGGGTAAATCCTCTGGTAGAAGTTGACGTGTCAAAAAAAAATTTAAAAAAAGCAAACCGTTAGCATAAATAGCGCTGGCAGCGAAAGGATTAAAGGTGCAATTGTATAATTGTGCAGAATTAGTTTGGTAAGGCTAAGCAGTGTGCTTTTTATTTTTTCTTATCCCCTTGATCAGACCTGTTCCTTGCCACATTGATTGTAGTCTCATTGCAAATTATCCCTTTTTTTTGTTTGTTTTGTTTGTTAAATAAAACTGAAATATATATTACCCTAAAAATGCTTTTGACCACTTTTTAAAAAATTCTGGTATGTTTGATGTAATTTTGCTGTAACTTTCTTTTTCAATTCTTTTTATAGTCTGTAGTGGATGACTGGATAGAAGCATATAAACACAACAGAGATGTAGCACTTCTTGATCTCATAAACTTTTTCATTCAGTGCTCTGGATGCAAAGGTATGATTTATATACTGAAACTTTAATGTGCTTTTTATGTCATTTTGCAACATGCACTTCAGTACCATATTTGTTTATTGCTCTGTACCACAGCCTGCATTTTGCATCCTTTTCCTGAAATTCAGGCCATGCTATTGAGCTTACGGTAGTTCGGAGAGTTGTCTTTATTCAAAGCAGCAACAGGAGCTCTGAGATCGGAGGAGGGGCAATCATTTAACTTTGACATGTCATGTGACTGGGCACATTTTCTGCTTGTCTTTCTCTTTGCAACCAGCTACATACCTTTTGAAACCAGTGGAGTACACTCCACATGTGTAAATCACATTATTTTGTTTTTATAAAAGTGTGTTATGGAAAGAGTGAAAATGGTGCCGAACCCATAAGGCTATCTATTAGTATTGCTATCTTCCCTTAAGGTGTTGGTGTTGATGTAGATGATCAGTTGATGTAGGTGATTGGGTTCCCAGGCTGGCAGCTTCTATACCCCAGAGACTCTCCACAACCATCTTGGCTTGTAGTTTAATGTAACAACCAACTGCTGTCAAGACCTGTGTTTGTTATCCTACTGGGAGAAATACTATTAAGGCTCCATGCACACTAGTGTTTTTTGTTTTTGTGTTTTTTTTTTTCTGGTTTGTTTTTTATTTAACGCATGAAAAACACTGGTAAAAGCATTTAAGTATCGTTTAGGAGGGTTAGCCTTTTATTAGTGTTTTTACAGTACATGTAGAGGAAAAAAAAAAGCAGTTAGGAGCATTTAGCGTTTTTTTTTTTTCTGCTGGAAAAATGCTCCAAAATATCTACAAAAAAATGTTTTCTTCTAGACCAGTGGTTCTCAACCTGTGGAACCACGAGACCCACACTATTTGTCCTTTGGTCATTAAGTAGCGACCCCCCCCCCCCCCCCCCCCACCCAAAAAAATGTAATTTCCGAAAAATTTGCAGTATTCTACAGCGAGTGAGGAGAGGAGAGCCGGTAAGCTGTACGGCTTCCCGGTCTCCAGCACAGAGCCTGCCCACCACGTCAACGTCACTCACAAGACACGTGCATAGCGTCCCCATCGCAAGCACATAGCGTCCCTGTCGCCTGGCAGCCACGCCGCTCAGAAGGCTGTTGTGCCGAGTCCGTCATTCTGCGAGTGTTCTTCAAGGAAACAAGACGTGAAGTTGTAGTGTCCTGCAGTGCAGTGGAATACTTATGGGAGGCGGCCTCAGGGAGGGCCGGCCATGGCTCAGCAGCTAGGATATTGTAGCCATTCATCTCCAGGAGCTGCACAGCCTCACATTTCCTCATTATAACACAGCTCTTCCCCGGGTAGGAGAATGTGCAGCTCATGACATTCCTGATCGCTGCCGCTACAGTGCCAATCATCCGAAAAACACGAGGGAGAGGGGTAAATTTAATGGGCTGCAGAAGATTGGGCTGAGCGGGGACATGGGGGGGCAGATCTGCATGTGGGCGTATCTGCATGTGGGCGGACCCTCCTGGAGACGGATAGAGGAGCGGTGTCTCGGTTCCTAAGACCATCGGAAATATGTGTTTTCCGATGGTCTTAGGCAACCCCTGTGAAAGGGTCGTTCGACCCCCAAAGGGGTCACGACCCACAGGTTGAGAACCGCTGTCCTAGACAATGAAGCTCAAAAAATGCTAATAGCCTAAAGTAGAGTCGGCATGGAAACATAGGATAACACTATTTAGCTTCAAGGAGCAGAAAAAAATGCTAATAACAGCTTCTAAGAGCATGAAAACATGATGGTGTGCTTGGAGCCTAAAAGTCTTAAGTCACTTCTAGTCCGTGTATATTGATTGTAATCGCAAGTCCTGATGAATGGGGGTGGTTTTGGACCCCCTGCAAGGTGTTGGTTACTCTTCACGGAACCCCCCCATTTTTATTGGGATAACGTTAAATATGGAAGATTTTAGCAATGGTGTGATGCTTCAGTTTACAATTTTGTTTTATTATAACTCACATTTTCCACCTTCAGCTGCAAAACCATACATTTAAAATAATTTTATTTGATTATTCACATGTGCCTGGCTAAAAAGAAATGTAAAATAAAAAAAAAATCCTAATAAAATACATAAAGAAAATATATGAAGATGATAGTTAATTTTAGCACTTATTCTTTAACCAGCAGTAAAGGACAGCTAGGCTCCTTGTACTATGGGCAATATCAACAAAACCACTGACATATTCCCCTTATAGTTCTGAATGTTGTCTTCTAAATATTAAGCAACCTTTTTATGAAACTGACTTACATCTTTGAACAACAGGTGTTGTTACTGGAGACATGTTCCGTCACATGCAAAATTCAGAAATAATCAGAAGAATGACGGAAGAATTTGATGAGGTATTGTTTCTCAATTCCCTTTGCACTTGACATGCTGCTGTTATGGTGTAATTGTTGATGCAATGTTTATCTTTATAGGATAGTGGAGATTACCCATTGACAATGGCTGGTCCACAGTGGAAGAAATTTAAATACAGTTTTTGTGAGTTCATTGGTGTTTTAGTTCGCCAGTGTCAATACAGTATCATATATGATGAGTACATGATGGACACCGTAATCTCTCTTCTAACTGGACTTTCTGATTCCCAAGTTCGAGCATTTCGCCATACAAGTACATTAGCAGGTTCGTATCTACTTCTTTATCTTGATGTAGTTGACTGCATCTGATACTGGAAAAATGTATTATATGTTATCTATGCTTGCATGATATACCACTGCATCTCTTCATTCTTATGTTAAATATTTCCAAGATTTGACTTTTAGGCTTATCTAATTATTTAAATTCCTTCTTGTAGCAATGAAGCTAATGACAGCCTTGGTTAATGTCGCCCTGAACTTGAGTATCAACATGGACAATACGCAAAGGCAGTATGAGGCAGAGAGAAACAAGATGATTGGAAAAAGGGCCAATGACAGACTGGAACTTTTACTACAGAAGAGAAAGGAGGTTAGAATTAGTAGTAGACCACTGCTCTTATAGTTTTTGCTTTATATTCTATCTTGTCTATTGAGGGCCACATAAATTGTTTAGCTGTTAGGTTATACTGCTGCTTACCGGTGAAATGGACAACATGAGAAACAAACAAAAAATTGGTCAGCATAGGTTTATCTCGCCCACTATTATCATCATCACAGTTTTTTTTTGCTAGTGTCCTCAGGAGAGTGGACTTGTTTTTCTTCAGCTCTGCTGTTCTCTGCTTGTTTGGAATAATTTCTCTGCCCTCAACAGCTGCTGTTAGATTCTTGTCAGATGTGGTAGTTCTCCAGCCAGCCAACAGGCACAGGTCTCCCCAGTTGTATACTGGGGATCTCTCTCTGCAACAGCCCTGAATTTCTGGAATCCAACAACTACTGGTAAATTCAGGCTGGATATGGAAATCCTTCTTTTTTTTTTTTTTTTTTTAAATTTTTAATCATTTTGTTTAATGCTGTTTGTTATCTTTTTCTGAGTGACTTATGACTCTGTCCCAAGCATGTTTGAATTCCCTTACTGTTGACTGACTCATTACCTCTGCATTTACTTTTCGGTAAAAAAATATTACTTTCTTTTTCAATAATTTAACTTGATCTCGGAGTACAAATAATTGGCTAGACCAGGGGTCTGCAAACTTTCTAAACATAGGGCCATTTTGCTGTACTTCAGAATCTCAGGGGGCCGGACTGTGGCCAATAAGAGTATAAAATGCCCTGAGTGTAAACAATGCCCTATTGTTCATGAGAGGAATATTGCCCCATTGTTGGTATCAGGGGGAGGAATAATACCCCATTATTGGTGTCAGTGGGAAGAAGAGTGCTTCATTGTTTGTGTCAGTGGTAGGAATAGTGCCCTATTGTTGGTATCAGTGACAGGAATTATGCCCCATTGTTGGTGTCAGTGGGAGGAATAGTATCCCAAGGGCCGGATAAAGGCATTGAAAGGGCCATATCCGGACCCCGGGCTGCAGTTTGGAGACCACTGGTCTAAAACAATAAGTAAAATATGAAAGTGTCCATCATAACAAAACAGTTAAGCATGTTAAACTTAGTACAAAAGAAGGGGGAACGGAAAGAAGGGTCTAGATATAAAATTGTGGTAGAGGAGAGAAACAAGTAAGAGAGGGAAAAGTTGCTCCATTCAATCCGACACCCAACTCCCCATGTTGGCCTCCAGGTCAAATAGGTGATTGTACATATCCAATCCAGGGGTTCCAGATTTTTTTCAAATCTGTCATGCCTATAACATAGAATACTAGCTATCTTTTCATTAACATTATTCAGGATAGCTTTTGTTTAGCTTATGTTTAGTGGCAATGTTCACCAAAAGATTATTCCAGGCTTTTGCATTTGATATTTTCGCAGCGAGTAAAATGTTAAAAGATAAGAGATTGAGTGTCTAGAGATATCATCCACCAAATCATTAAAAAGAGCAATTTTGGCATATTTAGTAATGTTAAAGAGGTCACAGAGTAGATGAGGGTAAGCTCTGTAGTTCAGAAGCACTTTATATTTGAGCAGGTCCGCCAAATATGGTACATGGTTCCCTCAGGGATGCCTCAGGGAAAATCTTACCGAGTCTTGCAGGCACCAAGTACCATCGAGATAGAACTTTGCCTCAACCAGCAAGGGGTTGAGAATACTTTTGTGCACCACAGAAGACCATCTAGATACAGTTTGTATTGAAAGTTTGGGCACCCCAGCTAAAAATTTGTATTAATGTGCATAAAGAAGCCAAGGAAAGATGGAAAAATCTCCAAAAGGCATCAAATTACAGATTAGACATTCTTATAATATGTCAACAAAAGTTAGATTTTATTTCCATCATTTACACTTTCAAAATAACAGAAAACAAAAAAAATGGCATCTGCAAAAGTTTGGGCACCCTGCAGAGTTAATATCTTGTACTGCCCCCTTTGGCAAGTATCACAGCTTGTAAACGCTTTTTGTAGCCAGCCAAGAGTCTTTCAATTCTTGTTTGAGGTATCTTTGCCCATTCTTCCTTCAAATGTCTTCCAGTTCTTTGAGATTTCTGGGCTGTCTGTCACGCACTGCTCTTTTAATAATCTATCCATAGATTTTCAATTATGTTGAGGTCAGGAGATTGTGAAGGCCATGGCAAAACCTTCAGTTTACGCCTCTTGATGTAATCCCCCGTGGATTTCGAGGTGTGTTTAGGATCATTATCCATTTGTAGAAGCCATCCTCTCTTTAACTTCAGCTTTTTCACAGATGGCATCAAGTTACCATCCAAAATTTGCTGAAATTTTACTGAATCCCTTTTTCTTTCTACTCGTGAGATGTTCCCTGTGCCACTGGCTGCAACACAACCCCAAAGCATGATTGATCCAACCCCATGCTTAACAGTTGGACAGAGGTTCTTTTCATTAAATTCTGTGCCCCTTCTTCTCCAAACGTACCTTTGCTCATTCCGGCCAAAAAGTTCAATTTTAAACCTCATCCATCCACAGAACTTGATTCCAAAATGCATCAGGCTTGTCTATATGTTCATTTGCAAAGTTCAAACGATGATTTTTGTGGTGAGGACGTAGAAGAGGTTTTCTTCTGATGACTCTTCCATGAAGACCATATTTGTACAAGTATCTCTTTATAGTGGAATAGTGTACCACAACTCCAGTGTCTGCTAGATCTTTCTGGAGGGATCGTGCAGTCAAACGTGGGTTTTGAATTGTTTTTCTCACAATCCTGCGGGCTGTTCTGTCTGTTATTTTTCTTGGTCTTCCAGATCTTGCTTTAATTTCCACTGTTCCTGATGACTGCCATTTCTTAATTACATTCCGAACAGAGGATATTGACATCTGAAAACGCTTTGCTATCTTCTTATAGCCTTCTCCAGCTTTGTGAGCGTCAACTATTTTCAGTTTCAGTTTTCTAGACAACTGCTTAGAAGAACCCATGGTGCTGATTGTTGGGATAAGGTCAGATGAGTCTGGGCATTTAAAACCTTTGAGATTGACATCACCTGGTCTTCCGAGACGATGATTGAGAACAATCCATGACACTGGCAGGTCTCAGCTTAGCCAAGGGGGCAGTGCATGCTATAAATTCTGCAGGGTGCCCAAACTTTTGCAGACGCCATTTTTTTGTTTTCTGTTATTTTGAAAGTGTAAATGATGGAAATAAAATCTAACTTTTGTTGACATATTATAAGAATGTCTAATCTGTAATTTGATGCCTTTTGGAGATTTTTCCATCTTTCCTTGGCTTCTTTATGCACATTAATACAAATTTTTTAGCTGGGGTGCCCAGACTTTCGATCCCCACTGTAAGTCCTCAACATCTATGTCTGTTCCCAGGTCCCGATTCCAAGCTAACTGGTGGGGTAGTTCTGTCAAGGGTCAGACAGAAGAAGGTACATTGTTGATATGCCCCCTTTTGAGCCAGTGTCCCGTATACACCTATCCTCAAAGAGTGTCCTCAAAGAAACTTCGTCCGTGGTTTGCTTAAGAGAATTCAAATCTGAAGTATTTGGTGAGGGCAGAACATTTCCCTTGAGGGCATCCCAAGAGTTTGGAGAAAATATTCTGTATCCGTTTTATCCCTCTGGTCAAGGAAATGTTTTGGTTCCCCTTTCACATATGTGCAGATTGGATGCGGTTTGAACTGCATCCATTTTGCATATGTGAAAAAAACATTGCTTCCTTTGGTGCCTGTTCACATATGTCTGGTGCACTGGCTGTGCGGATTCAGTGCGTTTTTAAAAAGAGTCATGTCCGATTTCTGAGCAGTGCAGTTCAGTCCAGGTGTGGATTACAAGCTATTGACTTCTATGGGAACCGTTTCTAAACCGCATATGTGTGAACAAGATAAGATCCTAAGCTAATCCTGTCCTAAACCTGCCGTGAACATGTAAACAAATACTTTATCAATTAGCGGTGAAACCTGAGCTTCAATCTGTACCGCACATGTGGGAATCCGCTTTTATTTTGTGTAGTCCCTTGATGGTCCACCATGAGAAGCAGTGAGGGGAGATGCCCAGGGGTCACAGAAGTAGATCTATGTGGAGAGGGGAACCCACTTGGGGTTCCAGCTTGACCCAATCGGGTCTATAACAAGTGGGAAAAATTTGTGTTAACAGGGTTAGCTGAGCTGTCTTGTGATATCCCTGAAGTTGTGGAACCTCCCAGAGCTCCTGAATATTTTGTAGCATACAGGGTTTTATGCGTAACTCTACAGCCATTCAAGCCTCAGATAAATTTAAAGATCGGAGATTGAAATCTTTTGAGATGGGCGGGGGGGGGGGGGGGGGGGGGGACTGGAATGGGAAGAAAATGAAAATATTAAACTTTTGGAAGTGTGGTCATTTTAATGGCAGCGATTCTGCTCAATCGAGAGAGAATACGGGGACCATGTCCGCAAGTACCTTTCCAAGGAGTTATAAAGGAGAATGTAGTCCCGTGGAACTTCATAGGTCTTATGAAGTTCCAAAGACAATAACATCCCCCGTCTGCCCCCTTCCATCCCAGTTGGAACAGAGTGTGATGAGATTGATTTCTCTCCTAATTTGGTGCGGTGCATGATGCCCAGGGACAAATCCGACCTGACCCACGTGTGTAATGTAATGTGCTAGGCATCTGTTCAGTCTATTGCCATAGATCTTTGTTAGCAATTTCAAATTGCAATTGATCAGTCAACGAGATTTGTTGATAATTTGCTGCATTGCTGTCATTTTCTGCAATTAGAGGCCAAAAAGCCATCGGGGCCTAGATTTTTAGAGGCATTCGTTTGTTTAATGGCCTGCAAAATTTCAGCCTCCATGATTTCACTTTCCAGAATGTCCTTATGTGCTGCTGAATGAGCAGGTAGTGTAAAGCAAGTCAGGCTTTATATGCACTGCTGAAAAAAATTGAAGGAACACCTTTTTAATCAGAGTATAGCATCAAGTCATTTACACTCCTGGGATATTGATCTGGCCATTTAGATAGCAGAGAGGGTTAATCAGTTTCAGCTGCT